ACAGGCTCTCCCTCACCAAACAAATACAGGATTCTGATGCACATGACGAGAGCCAACACCACCTGCAGCTTCACTGCAGCATCCCACAGGAATCCAAGCCCTATCAAGTCAGCAGAAAAATTTAAGACAGGTGCCACGAGCCTAATTTCAAGGTAAGGCTTAGTCCTGAGGGAATTGACTTGAATTTGCTGCTCTCAGACTGAAGAGCTGCCACTAGCCCACAAAAAGTCCTGCACAAAGGACTCCTTCATACAGTGGGTGAATATTTTCACTGCTTTAAGTGCAAACTTTGCTCTCTAGTACTAGCCACATTCTCCTACAGTTATTCTCCTATAGCTACCAAGGCTCCCCAAGAGGGAGCTCAAATTCTCACAGGGCAAGTTGGTGCCAGAAAACTCCCTGATACTGACTAAGCTATCACCACAGCCCACCAAGCCTGTCTCCAGTTCTAGGACGCTGCAGAAGGCCCTGAACGTTGCTACAAGACCCTGTAGCCTCCGCTGAGGCACTGACACCACGCTGTCATGCAGGAGCCCAAGGGCTATGGCCACTGTGGCAGTCCCCACACTTCAGGGGTGACTTCAGCTGCACCTGTACCGCCTCAGCACAAAGCTTTTAATGTCAGCACAAAGGTGGTTGTGCAACTGCACTGCCAGAGACATCAGCCTCAGAACTGGAGATTCAGCAAGCGGGAGACAAATGGTTTGCTGTTTGTTTTCTTTTTTTTTTTTGACAAAGTGATGTCGCAATTAGTTTGAGATGGCAGGATAAGAACATCTAAGATATTTAAACAGCAGGATTAATATTTCAGAGCTACTTCACCACCAAAATGAGGTTTACAGTCATCTTACCAAGTGCTTCAGGCCATCGAGAAATAAAAGAAGCCAAGAGAGCATCTGCTCTGCACTGATGGCAGTGAAGATTACCTTAGCACATGACTAGTGCTAGAAATTTGAGAACTAGCCCAAGAGGTTATCATGGTAGGTGTTCCAGAGCTACAAAGCTTGCTGCCATCACCAGCAGCTACATAAATATTTTTCCACCCAGCAAAAGATTTGATACTGAAAACTTGGGAGCAGAGAGTGTTTTAAGCCAATTGTTCTTGAAGACAATTAAGAAATCCAAACAATTAAAATACCAGCTCATTCTGTGCATCCCTCACTATCTTCCCATTTCAGATAGCACCCAAGAAATAAGTTCCCATGCAAGAATTAACCCTGTTCCTCAACACAGTTGCATAATTGAAGGCAGATCAGCTAGTTACTGTTTTAACAGGAAGAATCCAAATAGGAAAATATAGGAAGAAAATCAGTGTAGCTCCATATAGGATTATAGCCTTTGCTTAGGCAAGGACCACTTAGCTAACCAAAAAAAGTATAATATTTGAGAGCAAAAGTTGTGTCATACAGCAGCAAATCTGCCCTGTTAGAAGTTGCTTTCCTATAGGCCTTTCCCTGGGTCCCTCCCACAGTAAGGAAAGCTGGAACTTTAAAATGCCTCAGTCATTACTTACCTTATGCCCTCACAAGGCAGGAGGATCTAAGCTCAAACCAAACACTGAAAATCAGTCACCGTTAACCTATGTAAGTTTTACTCTATTTATAGATCCGCTCCATGTGCGGCCCTTTATACGTTTTACTGGCACATCTACAGACATTTGTTTAGTGGAGGGGAGTTGCAGAGCCTACTGAGCAGCACGAGCTCCTTGACAGGTCACAGGGCTGCTACCTCCTCCAGATGGTGGCTGTCCTTTCCAGGGGCAACAGCAACCCTGCAGGAGCCTCTTCTCTTCCACATTTTTCACCAAGGCTCACGTTAGATGCCCTAACTAGTAACAGGCTCCAGAACAGAATTCATATTGTTCTGTAGCACTCCAGGTTATGCTTTGGAAACTACAGTCATCTTCATACTTAGAGACCAGCAGCTCTCCAGACGTTTTTCCGCTCCCTTTACAGTAGCACTGACATGGAAGTCAACATCCCTGTCTCCAACCAACATTCCTTTCAAGGAGGGATATTTCAGCACATTTTCATGCATCATACCAGCTAGACAGTTGAAGCAACTGCCCTGCCCTCCCCTCTTTTCTTAGTTCTCTAGGGTCAGTAGGGAGGGTTAAGGCTCCAAATGATGCAGAAACCCAAGCCTGTTGCTTGGGTGACTGCTTGCACCCACTGCTATCATCTTGTAGTATTTCCCATTACTGCCACCAAAAGTTCCACAGCATAAATGAGCCAAGTTCACAGTGGTCAAGAGCTGACCTTAAATAATACAGGAGACAGAACTCTATCTTTTCCTGAACTAGAAGGACAAAAGTCCCAGTTTATTTTCCAGATAGGGAAAACAGAGTTGAATGGTACAATCAATTTAATTTTTTATGAAGGAGCACCACTCAATTGAGGAAAAGAGCCAGCCCAGACTCCCCATGTATCATATGAGGAGCAAGGAGGGGGAAAGCAGCAAGAACTGGCTTGTCACACAATTCCCAATCATCTTACACCAGCAGAGAGAGGGAGACATGCAGGAAGAGAAAAGTAGAGCCTAACGAGCTTTTTCCAGAAGGCAATGTTCTTCAGACAGACATTTTCCAAGAACTTTCCATGCAGTCAGTCCATCACTTGCACTGCGCTCCCGAGAATTACCAGAGAAGTGATCGCGCGACTATATGATGGAGCAAAAACATTCTAGACTAAGCAAAGAAGTAAGCCACAGCACCCTTGGGCTTCCAAGTTATTTCTAGGGCACCCAAGGCATTGGGCTGCCTACAGGGACTCGCCGAGGACAGTTAATAATTATCCGCCAGTTGGACACAGCAGACGTACAAGAGCCAGATGTTTTCTACAAGTCATTGACACTTCCCAAGTCTGAGAACCGTGCCAGTGGTCATAGCTTTATTCTAACACAAACCAGCAAGCTTCGTGGGACTTGCTGCGAGAGCCAGGAGTGCGTCAGCAGGCAGGCCAGGCAGAGATGAGCTGCACTTGTAGCTCCCCTGATATTCAAGTGATCATCTGTGAACCGACTCACTTCATCTGAAAGTTTAGTACTGTGTCGGACAGGAGGTGCAGACCTACTCGCTTCTCTACACTGCCTTTCATCAACTTTTTGTCATTTTCTGCAAACAGTAGTAAGTCATATTCTTCTGTCTGTGTATGCAATTACAACACACTGCCTTACTTTGCAGTAACACAGTTAAGTGCTAACAGGCAAATGTAAAAAAAAAATGTTTCAAGCGTTATTGCTGTTCATTTGAATTCCCTGTGAGAAAAAAAAAAAGGATTAATAATTACTGCTTTCCTTTAAAAGCATTTGAGCCTGCAAAAGCTGAAGCTTTAGTGCTTAGCATATAGAATAGAAACAGCTTGGAAGGCTAAGTATTACACCTAGCAACTGGATGGCTACAGAATCAGACTCTAGAACTGCAACCCTAATCCCACAAATGAGGGAGAGTTCCTGAAGGGAACGCGCTCTTGATTAAAAGTCAGCATGAAAAGCTGAGTGGTGTGATGTGGTAATCATCATTAAAAACACAATTAATAAAGATTTTCCTAGTGTAGATGGGAATCTAAAGCATTTCACCTTTATACTAAGGACCACTTTGCTGGCAGTGTCTAATCACTAGAAGAGATTATAAATATAAGCTCCTGAGCTTTGCAGTGGTGGTTGAAAGCAGACCAAATTCCCAACCTTCACACCCTTAAGCAAGCTACTTAGAAGGCTGAAAAAGAGAGGCTCTGCCAGTTAAGCATCCCTGAAATCAACTGTTTAACAGTTTTCCATTAAAGAGTCCTTTAATTAAAGTTTTAAGGCAGCTGCTTCTACACAGAAGTAGACATTGGTGCCCACAGAAACTGAGTTTCTCCAGCCAGCTATGAAGGGAGAAACACCAGAGTGTGATCACTTATTTCAGGCAATTAGCAGGTTAGTCCTCTGCCTTTTTTTCCCTATTCTCCTGAAGAAGCTCCCGTCAAAAGAAGACACAGCACAGCGAGCAATGAAGCTGTCCTGTGAGGTACATGCACAACTGGCATGCTGGACACTTGGAGCCTGTAGGACGGTCAGGCTTCTCGTGCAGTTCGGCCATGAGAACTTCTCATTCTGTTCTTTGTTCCAGCTGCTAACCATTGAAGCATTTAGATACCAGGGCTGATGAAGGGCCCTAGTCATGCGGGCAGGCTGCTCCTTACCACCTCAAAGCTCCCCTCCGCATGTCACCGCTCCAGTTCTGAGGTTTGTGCTCGGTATCAGGTAGAGAGAGATACACGCACAGGCACCCCTAAGTCCTCCCCACCCCTTGAGACGGGTCTCCAGGCGGTCGAGACACTCACTACATCTAACCTGTCAGACTGCAGCAGTCACGGCTACGCGCGGGGCTATCAAAGAGGCTACAGAGCACAGCCGAGCGCGGACAGCAGCGCGGCCAGGACACTTTTTCCATGGTTTTGAGGTGTGCCACGGCCAGAGCAGCCCGGCACCAGCCCTGAGCACAGCACTCCGATTTTTTCCTAAGAGTCCAGTCCCTTATTGCTGTATTTCTGCCACGCAGGGTTTCGGGAAGCTCAGGCTCATGCCTCACGGCCAGCTCGGTTAGTTAAGCGCCGCATTTCATTTCACAGCCCCTCAACCCGCCGGGTTCTGCACACATGGGACGAGATGGGACAGGACGGGAGCCCTTTTGCTGGGGGATCCCAGAGCCGGGATCCCCGGCAGCAGCGGCCGCAGCCGCACACGCACCCAGGACCATATTTAGAAGAGGTGCCGGCTTCGCCCCACACCAAAAGCCACGGGACGGCTTGGTGAGGGGGATTAAGAGCCACGGCCACTAAATTAGAAATAACTAAGCTGGTTAGAGAAGGCTGAAGGAAGGAGAGCGAGCTGAACGGCTGCAGGGGGGTACCCGAGTGTCCCGAAGCGACGCCCTGCGCCCGAGAGGTGCGGCACAAAGATGCAGCCGCCGGCGCCGGGACACCCTGCGGCGGCGGCGCGGGGGGCTGCGCACTTACCCGTGGCCCCGTGGCTCGGTGGCCGCCGCCGCGGGGCAGAGGCGCCAGCAGCAGCGGCAGGAGCAGCGCCAGGAGCGGCCGGGCGCCCGCGCGGCGGGGCAGC